ACGTTGCGGACATATATTCTGCCGTAAGCTCCAACAATTGGCCCCCGGCTACCGCGATCTTCAGCCGTCCTTTGTGTTATGTTACTGAAGTATGCGTTACCTCAAGTGGGTTCATACCATGTTGTTTATCCATCACTCGGGACGCGGGTTCTGGCTGTGAACCTGCTTGGGCTGCGAATATATAGCTCCACTCAACGAATATTTTACTGCCTTATAGAGTTCGGAATATGATTACTGCTCCGGTAGTGTTTCCTTGGACTGTGAAGGAGCATCAATGAACATTGCTGTTGAGGCAGTCGATAAAACCCGCGATCCGTTCGGGGTTGGGGGCTTCTTCGGGTATTTAAGCTTCTTTATCCAAAATTGTAACACTTTATGTGAAAAGTGATCCCACCTCTGGTCGTCCGGAACCATAAAACGCGGAATGAGAAGGTTCGGGGCTTAAATGATGTAATCAGCTGTGCTGCGCTCCTTTATCCCTTATACCCTATCCCGTACCATGTGCTGGCGGCGGGCATACCTGGCATGGCAGGTGGAAGAAACAAAGGAGAGGGGGAATAGAGGGGGCAAAAACAGCGTGGACAACTATCTCTGGCAGGGGAGCATAGAAAGAAAGGCTCTAGCTAGATCTCTTCTTGATCGGGAATGGGTGTATTTGGCAGTTTTAGAAGATTCCGGCCTTGCCCACACGGGTCTTCGGAAGCCAGCCGGGCCTGGATGTGGCCTCTAATCTAACTTCTGGGGCTCGCCTCTCCGGCCTGGCGGACTGTAGATATTGGTAGGCTGATAGGTTTCAGGTAGTTGGGTATGATTGGCCTGATTTTTGGGCCTTTAGGATGGTGTATAGATTTATGTTGATTGAGGAAGAATACTAGCGCATGTGCCAAATGCCGCTGGACATATGATTGTTGTGGGAATACCGGTATGATATGTTATCTTCACTGCCGCTGATGGCCGGGGTGTTGAAAGAGGGCTAGAACAGAGTCTAGTGCAAATCTTGAGCGCCATTGTATTCTGTATTCTCACTTGAATGGTGGTTTCCAACCTCGCAATAAGCCTCAGGGAAAGAAGAAATGGTTTGAGAAGCGGAATCATCACGATGAAGAGTGTATGGAGAATCATGTGGCCGGAAGAGGCAATGGGGAAGAGTGGTGGGAGCTTGGGGTTGGTGGTGGTGCTAAATCGGTGGGAGATATGACTGATAAACAAATAATGTTTGTGCTGAAAAGGGACGGATCGGGGTCGGAAAACCAAACACACAAAACAGGTAAGCTTCTCTCACTTACAAATCGAATAGGCAAATCCAGCCTTCACACATGAAAAGGTATTCCGAAAGAGGACTGTACAAATTAAATTGATGCAAAGAAAAAGAAAGAACAAACACAAAGGTAAATTCCCAAACTCAGGTACAAACTTCGTAATTGTAGGTTGTCTTCGTTCCTCGTCCGCAGGTTGGTTATTAAATAGTTCGATGGTCTTCATTCTCCGTTTGCTTGCTTGATAGGGAAAGGAGGGAAATCCCCCTTTCTCCCTCTCTGGTCCGCAGGACATCCCCATGGCCAATCACAATCAAACCCTAACGAATTGGACAAAACCCTAACCACCATTACAGAACTAAACTCAAGTTTCAAACGGAAGAGAGCAAACACATTTTTCCCCCACAGTTCTGAGAGTGATTAATGTTGTAAATCACTGGTACTCTAACTAACCCCTTACCTATCCACGACCACTCGGAGGCCTGGAGACTTCTCCGGGAGTGTCTGATATTTGTAATACTTAGGAGGAAATTGATAAGCAGGATGGAAGGTTCTAGGGATTATTACAGATGTGTATTATAGATTGATATTGCGGGGCAAGGCATGGAAAGGAAATACACGAGGGGGCAAGAAGGAAAGTCATTGGTTGACAAAGCGGGGTAGAGCGATGTCTGTAGAACCAGAAAGAAGACAAAAGAGGGGTAACAGGCGGGGTCATATAGATGACCAAGGAGACCGGTCTGGATGGGAGACGCTATGATATGGATGTATATAAAGCCCGCTGCGGTAGTAGGAGAAAATGTAAGGGAGAGAAAAAGAACTGAGCAGCAATCGGAGAAAGCATCAGAATCGAGTTACGACCAAGGGTTAGAAAAGACAAAAGCTTCCAACGCGCAGAAGTGTGAATATACAACTTCAATTCGTTTTAATTAATCCATCTCTCACAGGAACGTGTTGAATGATGAGAAATTTCGGAGCATCGAGACTGGCCGGGCTTTCATTGTTTTAATTAAACTTAGCAAAACTTTCATGAGTTCTCCCAGGCGCGGACCAGGGAGAGATATCTTCAGATATTGCGCTTTAATAGCAGATGTTTACAAATATCCGCAGACATTTGTGCGCTTCTACAGATCTTCTCAGGTATCCCACAATAATTTATGCCGGAGACTCCTGACATCTCTAGGCACACGTGAGGCATGCGTACGTTGTAGCATCTGGGCCTGAAAATCCTGGGTCAGTTTGATTTTGGCTTGGCCAGTGTTCCTAACAGTCTAGTCCGTTCGTCTCTGGGGTAGGACGGGACGGACTATAGCTGGTAGTCCGTCTTTTTGGGAGTGCTAAGATGGACTACGCTCGGGACCGGTAGGAATGGACGGACTACTAGGGGCTACGGTCTTGCTGCATAAAATCCTAGGGACAAAATAATAGTTCTCGGCAGTCCCCCACCGTCCCCCTTGACAACCTTGTTTCACCCCATAGGGCCCGCCGTCCTACCCAAAGACGGCCGTCCTCTACTTTCACCGACCGGGACGGACTGCACATTGCCGTCCCGTCCCGCCCAGGGCTCTTGGCAGTCCCCCCGTAGGGACAGGTCGGGCCCCCGGACGGTTGGGAACATTGGGCCTGGCCACGCTACCTGGGGGGACAGTCTGTTAGGCTGCAGGCGCAAGGCTAGCCACAAAATTTAACGGAGGGATTCGCGCGGGAAATCTTAGCAGCGGTGTAAAGGTGGCAAGAAGGGGAACTTTGCTTGCAAAATATCTGAACGAGGAGAACATGAAAGCAAACCGATCCCTGCTGGCGTAAGTGCTGACCTTTGTGGTCTCACGTGAGCCCTTGCTTGTTGTCTATAGCAACCACCGGCGTCCATGGCTGTACCTCCTGGCCGCATACATACTTCTTCCTCTGATTTGCGATCCTCATTTATCTTGATTCTTAGGAGTCGTAAAACTCCCTTCCTAAACTAAGGTTGCCTTCAGTTTCAAAATTTCTCGATATAGTAGAACAGCGGACTGCCAGAACGAGTGTGAGGACTATAGGGAAATTGGAGCGTTAGGAGGGTGGGGGGGGTGCTTCGCGAGGGCTTACTTTATTTGTCTTGTCTCAACGCCTCCTACACCCAGGACCAGGATGGGAGCTGCCGGAATTTGTGACGGGTCCTTTATCCAGTAGACTTTCAGGCCCGATTGATAGTATAGCAGTGTTTCCAGACTTTCAGAGTGAGGGGAGCAAACCACCAGAGTCTCTTTTCACCCTGCCTTGTGTTGTAAATAGTCAAGTACGCTCTCACAAGTCTATTGTGATGAACCAACCATGTGACATGAGCATAAGTTTGGTCCTGAGCTTTGTGTTTTCGTTGTTAGACTGATGTGGTCTATAACATGAAATGGGTTGTGGAATTAGGGCTAGGATGAGAGGTTTTATTCTTTGTTTTAAGCATGTTTATTCTTAGCTAGAACTAACACAGTCCTTTACAACTCCACACTCAATCTCCTCCCTCCACCAAAAGGTCTCGCCTTCGTTTCCTGCTACGGTCAGCCATCCACTGCCATCACACTCCCTGTTGCTCAAGACCTTGAACAGCCAACATAGGATGGAAAACAGCAATTCACCATGCACCTAATCACTAGACGCTTCATACTCACATCCTCTATAATCACAAGGCTCGGAGCTGAGGCAGGAGTGATTTCTCTACCACTATCACAGAGGGAGGTTCGACTACATAGCACATATATCATATATTTAGTTACTTATGATGGCACGGGGATATAGGTCTTCGGGGTAAACCCCATGCTGCGGGTGGGGGTCCTATACGCTGTCTCTACTGGAGTATGATAGCATAATCCATGACTACCTGGTTTACCGGTGGCCTCCGGGATAGATAGGGCTCCGGAGCCGCCGCGCACTATAAATCAATTAAATCCCTTAAGGAAGGAGCGCCAAAAGATTGTTGGATCTCATTAACTGGCATTTGCAATTCGGTTAACCTGTCAAACTAAATCTGCCGTAAGTGGAACGGGGATTAGTTCCTGCTAAGGGGGTGATTGGGTTCCAAGGGGTTTTACTGTGGATTGTTTGTTCTCTATCTGTGTATTTAGAAATAGTGCCCGATCTGTGGAGAGTTCTGGCCTTACGGCAAGTTGATGGGTGCTGCAAGTTGTTTTGTCAGTCTAAGAGGGGGAGAGTGACAGTGGCTAGGCAGGTGTCGTCTGGTTGACGGGGTCGCATGGACGCCACCATAGACTGGGTCAGGACGTGGTGGACGGCCATCCAACACCGCACCACGCGAGAGGACAGTTAGGAGTGCAGTGGGCAAAAGCTGAATTACGGGGAAAAAAATAGAATATAATGATAGCCATAGAGGACTATTACTGGGCTGGTTTGAAGGAGCTTGGCTAGGATATTATATTGGATTGTTCATGTCCTGGTGGTCCACTCCAGTCTAAAGAATATATCAGATTGGCTGGAGGCAATGCTGATGTACAATAGTGCCGGTACGTGGGATCCCGCTGTTCTGAACCCTTCTGGTACCGGTAGGCGCAGGGGGAAATAGAATTTAGTGGTGGATTTTCGGTATCGTAGTAAAGGTATGCCAAGAACTTATTTAAACCCCTTCCAGGTTGCGACTGGACGTCAGCGACCGGTTTTCTTTTCTTTCTCCCTTTTTGTTTCTCCGGCTCCACAAGCATTACCCGTAAGTACCGTGCTTGATTCGGTATTCAGTCATCGCTAGCAAAGTCTACAATGGCATTTTTCCTGAGAACTCTCCTCCCTCCTAAGTTTCCATTTAATCCAATCACTCGCCATGTTCGCACCCTCGCGACTTCTCGTCGGGGGAGGGTGAAAAGGGCCCTACAGGTCCAAGGACCTGAACTGCCGAGCCAGGAATCTTATCAGTTTGGTGACGATCTCAGTATGCTGGAGGACAATTTGTATGTTCGCTACCAGGAAACCTTCGGCGAGCTTCATCTTAAGTTCATGGGAGTTATCCACGGGGCACGGATCCGCTTGGAGGAGGATCTCCAGGCAGCTCACGACCGCTTGGAGACCGATATTCGCGAGCTACACCATATCTACCTCAAACACTCTGACTTGACAAAGTTTGATTCTGGCAAGAAACATGAACAAACCCTCATTGTTGGAGTAGGATCCCCTCACGTGTGCTGAAAACCCCGCTTACGTGCTTCTAGGATGTTGCAGCGGACGCAAATCATATGTTGAAGTTGGCCGGGAAATGCCACGTCCGTGGGGCAATAGGTATACTACGATAATCTGGACCTCTGGGGTTCCACTAAAATTTTGGCGCAGAACGCATTGTCTACCAGGGCAAACTTCTGGGCAAGATATCTTATGCTTCGAACATCCAGGATGGACTGAACTCGTTGGCCTTGTGTGATGAATTCGCCATAGCTCTGGGCGAGGAAGTAAAAGCACGGGGACTTAAACCCCGAGTCGTCCGCCGCTGTGTTGCGGGCCTTTATAACCTTGTATGCACCCGCACGCATACTAATGAGAGTACCATTATTGTCAGAGCTGGTCAATATTTCCCAAATGATGTCGCTGCCTTGGTCACCTTCCTGAAGGTACAGAGCACGTGGCCGTATGCGCTGAGTTGGACGGAGGACAAATCTTCGGAAGATAGATATGGGGGAGATAGCTCTGGGGAAGGTGAATCTGGGGAGCAGGACGAATCTGGGGAAGATGAATCTGGGGAGCAGGACGAATCTGGGGAGGAGGATTAATAGAAAGTGCAGGCTACCGGGCGCTTTCTCGATCCCTTGATTCAAGTTTTATTTGACCTGGTTTCGCTTTGTCTGCATCGGACCCGGAAACTGCGATATTATTTATGGGAGGGTATTCCAACTTTTGTGGTACTTAGCGATATATATATTCCTGTCTGGACTTATGGCGTTTAGGTCCACCCATTAGATTTACGTTACGGGTGAAGGGCAGTACTTTCTACGAAAGTACCGTGTAACTTGTCACAAGTGGCAGTAGACCGCTCTTCACAATTACCGGGACTTTCCTTTTCACATTTATAACTGGGAAGTTACTTACGGGAAAACCTTTCCAACAAGTCTCATACGCTTACATGCCAAGAGATTCATCGAGGTTTATACGCTTGAGACATGAAGATCCACATGAGACCAATGAATCTGTCCCCACCAGACAGGCTCAAATCCCACCTAGGAGCGCGCCCACGCCCACACCACTGAGGGAAGTAGAAAACCACCACCTTAGGTTGGCGACCCGCCGGCGCCGGCCCGACAAATTGCCATGAGGTCGGTGGACCGACTCACCCGGAGGGTGTCCCTAATTGGGACAGAAGCGCCCCCTGGCTATTAAAAAACGTGATTGGTTACCCGAAGAACACTCGTTCTGAGGGGAGTGAGCGGAGGGGGGAAGTGACTATATATGGCTACAGTTTCATTCCTTTGCAGCAGTCTCAACTAACTATGTCTTTCTTCTCCACCTGGCTGGCAATTTTGAGGTGAGGGGTTATCCGGTTGATTCCAGACCAGAGTGACTGTATTATTGGGACCGTCAGCGGAGATCATTGAGTTCTTTCGTCCAGCCAGCATGCTTTTATCGCCCACTTTAACTTGCAGGTTAACAGACTGGTGGGCTGTAGTGTTGAACATGTCTGCCCACAAATTCAACAAAAAATGCTGTACCCAGCATGGTGTGAGAAAAGAAAAAACACCAACGCCGAGATCCAGTCTCCATGGGGGGGGGGGGGAGTTATTTTCTGATTTTCGAGTTGCTAGGTGAGTGACATCTCCTATCCTTCCAGAGCGTCGTGGCAGAGGCCAGATAAGCGCTGAAAAGAATGAAGCAGTTGGCATAATCTAGTTGATGGAAAGGAAGTGATGAGTGAAGGACACTGGTGACACTGCAGATCCATAGAGATGATGGCGAGGCATGGGACAGGCCGTAGGTATAGGCCTCTGCAATCAGTGAAAACCTTGGAGATTGAAAATAGTGAGCCTACTCTCCAGATTCCCGTTATCCCAATCGATGGTTCTCACCCATGACCAAAGGCAACGGAGCGGCTTGGCGATCCATCGTGATCGTCGACATGATCAAACCCTGTGCCTTGTACGAACTGGTATTGGAAGAAACGGAAAATATCTAATACTCTATCTGATGGCATGCGGTGAGTGAGAAACAAGGCGCTAAAGCTACTACGCGACCCCCGATGCCCGCGGCGGGATGTATCAAATCAGGTGAAAAACTGATAGCCGAGGTAATAATACCACAACCGCCCGGTATAAGACTAACAACCTGATATCGTAAGAGCAGGGGAGTTAATAGCACGTGGCGGTAGGGACGGAGATTGTTGGTTCACAACGCGGGGTTATGGGAGGGTAAGAGGTTCCCGGGGAAGGGAACAAAAAGAGGGGTCAATGAGGGGTTTCGTTTGTTGCTGGATGAGTAGTCTTGAAGGAAGGATAAAGAGGGGAAAGGAGTAGCCTTTGCAGTGTGTATAGGGGTGCATGTTTGTCTGTGAAGAAGAGGTGGAGGGGGATATCAGAGAGAGAAAGAGCATTAAGATACGACCCTCGGTGAGAAAGGTAGGCTTCTAGTGTGCATACAGACAGGGAGCAATCTCGATTTACAAAAATGGTCTCATGAGTACATCCACTATAACGGGCCTTCTACCCGCATACCTTAAAGGCAATCCAACATGTTGGCCCTGATGCACCGCCCAACAAGCCGTTCTGGCAGAACTACTTAGTAGATTTGGGTTTGGGAGGACAACACAAGCATGCATCCCAAGAATCCCTGTTCCTATCCTCTCGCCAGTCCAATGCATGAGGCCACTTACTCTGCATCTTTAGGAAGCCTACAAGGGCGGCTACCTGGTTCGGTGTATATTCCCGTGCCCAGAGAACAATCTTGGAATAGTTATCATGCGGGCGATTGGATACTTCATCATAGATGCCTGGGACGCAAGCTATCACATCCTCGAGGTTCAGCCCACGGTCTTGAACTTCCTGCTGAACAATCTTTATGAATTCCTCCTTGCCGGCGAGCTCAATCAATCCTTTTTGCACACCTGCGGATGATGTGATTCTTTTATTCAGTCGGGCGCTGTAAACGATGAATTCTGATGCATCAGGTTATTAAGCGCTGGAAACCACTCGATTTTGTAGGCATACCTAAGGCCCCAAGAATGTTAAACTCCCCCTTGAACCTCATCTTTTCGGCTCTCTCGGTCAAAAGATTAAACTAGGTAGAAGGACGTTAGAAATAATGTGGTGGCTAAGAATGAAGAGCCTACCCTCAGATCCCGAAGTATCTCCAAATTCTCCTTGCACTGCATCTCAAGCTGTTTGTTCCGGGGGTCCGGGTCCGGACCATCAAACTCGCCGACTCCCCTATAGGTCTCAAGGGTGCCTGCTATGTCATTTACAAAATTGCCGAGATCCTCCTTGTACTCATGAAATCCGGTCTTCATTTCCAAGGGAGTGGGTATGAATGAAGTAGTAGCTAGCTTCCTGGTAGAAGAAGCGAGCTTTCGAATGGGGCCGACGTGTCCACTAAATGGAGGCAAGAGCAGGGAGCGGGACCTTAGAGAAAGAAGCATTGCTGCAGTGTGGAGTAACGGAGTGATATGGTCTGTGGGAGGTTGTGTTTTGAGAAGAATTAGGAGTTTGGAAACGATCAGTTGGGGTGTGCCAAGTACTCTAGTAGACCGTATGAGGGCAGAGCGAGGCGGTACCCTTGGCGAGGCATGGCATTTCTTGGCGGGTCGCGGGGTCGCTAATATGATATCGATTTCGTCTCCGGTGGGTGGGAGGTCTTGAGTGGGCCATCTGAACTCCAAATTTTCTCCTTCAATTCCCTTAAGTATGTCGTCACGAAATAACTAATATTCTTACACGGATGGAGGAAAAAATTGCGGTTGAGATGCTGCCCCCTGAAATTCTCCTAGGATTGACAAAATAGCAGGATATTGGAATAGCTCTGATTACTCGGGTGTAAGGATATTTCCGGCGCCGCCCCTCATCCTTGCCCCCGCTCCCTATGCTCTTACATATCCCTCTTTGTCATCCCTGCTAACCGCCCACTTGCCTTTCCCTCCCCCCATTCTTCCCCCCAAACCCCCCTCCCCTCTTCTCCCAAACCACCCCTTCTATGATAATTGCCACTTGTTGAGATTCGTTGAGCTTCCCTGAACCCTCGGCGATGTTAGGAGCGAAGGAAAGAAATGTGGAATGATGCTGCACTGGTGGTACTGGAGTTGTTGGAAGAGCTGTTTCGATATTATGGGGAAGTGGTTCTAGACTTTCAGAATAAGTGCAGGAGTTGTTGGGCGAGTGTTTGAGGGGTTACAGGAATTAGCATGAATGCTAAGAGAGACATTGAAAGAAATTGGGGAAGAGTCTACTTGTGCGGAGGCAAATTGTGTATATATAGGACACTTCTGGTTAGGTAGAGACAGTAAGGACCACAAGACACTCTCATCCTCACTCGAACATAGCCTATATCTTTATGACCACTCATTTTCCCTGTCCTCTCTTCAAGAACTCGCTTAATCCTTGACCCACTCCTCTAAAAGCAACATTTTACCCATCTCCGCCCACCTCTCCTCATAACCCAATCCTCTCGACACACCTCTCCGGAAAGATCCTCTCTCCTCCTCCCACCCGTCACATTAAAGTAAAACATGCTCCCTAGTTTTCTCTAAAAAATCTTGCTTAGTACTTGTACCTAGGCAAACAGTCCCAAGTTACCCGGAAATTCTACCTCTTAGGCCCTGTTTGGTAGGAACGGAAGGTGGGTCAACCGTTCGCTTTCCTTATAGTTTGTCCCTTAGAAACCGACGTTGCCAATTTGGAAATGGTCATACCTATACAAACTGTTTGAATCAACCGTCAACCATTCATTACCACATGACAACCACTGTATTTAACCTACGTAAACTTCCTCCTTTATACAGTACGGGGACAAGGGATCGTCCGACGCCCTTTTCACACCAAAAATGGACATTTTTAAAGGACAATTCTCAACGCTGCTGATATGAAAGCACTTCAAATCATTTCATCAGCTAGGGAATGACCATCTATTCCAACCTCTACAAGTAGAAGTGTAAGGAATCAAAGCTGTCTTCATTGTTCACGATTGCATCAACTAGCGTGAAAGTGACCGAAATTTTTGTATGGGGCTCCATACAAAACAGTACATGGCAACCGATGCCAGAAACTCAAACAACCTTTTCTCCATCATTTTATAATATTTAAGGATTCTGTGATATTGTTCATGTTATCTACAGGTTTGCAAATTCATGGACAAATTTGCACAGGTTCTCATAGACATTGTGTGATGAGAGAGGGTGGTGAAGATGGGCACTTTTGCTGTAAAAAGGGCATCGGACGATCCCTTTTGTCCTAGTACTTTAGATTAATGGATTTTTTTTTTGGCAGTGTCTACATAAACACACCTAAGGCGTCCACCGCATACTAGCAAACACTTACAATGCATTCTCAACTGATTGGTTAACATATTCCTAATAACATACCCAGTCAACCTACATCGATGTCTCAAGAAAGTGATAATCCTTCTCAAGTTAGATAAGTTGTCATACTTCACTTGTTGAGTATAATTGCAATTCTGTCACTGGCTGGCTGGTGGGTAAGTGGTGATGGTCAAGTTCATAGTATAAATTGATTATGATAGAGTTATTAGTAGTTTTATGATTTAATGTACACAATTAAATTAACTTGTTATTCAATTTTATTTTAATATAAGTAGATATAAATTTTCACATAATAAATTAAGTGCCAAGCAGGTCTGTTATGAAATGGTTGGTGTTGACCATTTCCGAACGGGATGGTTGTCATACTTTAATTCCACCAAACACCAGTTTTGTTCTCCTGTTTCGAAATAGAGGGCGAACGGTCATTTGTATGGGGGAATGGGACGGAACGGTCGTTGCCAAACAGGCCCTTGGAACAATACCGACGGCACTCGGAGCTCTCCCGGCTACCGACGTTTTGACCCCGGAGATTCAGCCGTTACCGGGCCAACGGATGGCTTGCACAACCGGGCAGATGAACAAGAAGAGGATGCCTATATGATATTATACGATACCAGTAATAGCGACACCGTCGCAGCGGCTCTGGCCCCGAAAGATCCTCACCACCCTCGGTAGTCGCATTGCCGGTATGGTGGAACGTCGGCAAACACCCCGCAACTCAGTAATATGCTGACAAACACTGCTAGATTCCCAACAGGATTGAACCAAGCGAAGCTGCACACAGCGTTACGGTTGATACTGCATATTTTCTGGTCCCCCAGGCGTATCTGAAGTTCCGCTGCACCGTAGGTCCCCGGAAATACGACTCTGGTGTAGCTGAAAGGGCGGGTACCCCTTCCAAGTACAGCATCGATCTGTTTTTTTGAAGTAAACATAAAAATCCCTTCATGTTTTCATTGACATAGTCACTAGAATTGTCCCCGTGGGAGGAAGCAATTATCTCATCTGTGTAAACGCTCCCAAATCTTATTTTCAATTCCACCACCACCTCATTTTGATTTCCGCACCCGTCCCTGTGATAACACCATCGACCCACCAGAAAAATGAAAACCTGAGACAACCATATCGATGACAGCCATTATCATTTAAGCATCTTCCTTCCTCGTTCGAAAACTCCTCCGCAGCTACCACTGTACCTGTATTCTACACTCAGTGACAATCTTCAATATTCAGCGACTACCTCTGGTAACAGGGGTTGCGAGTGACAACCAATGACTGCGCCCTACCCCCGAAGACTGCCCCGGTTACGGGACGTGCCCGATCGGAGAGTGGGGTGCGATATGAGACGATGGGACGACCGGGTTGGCATGCGTAAGACGTGGGCACGGAGGAATAGATGGGATCCATGGGCGGATAGAGGCGATCTGTTTTCCTTTAGAGATTCCTCGCTTGTCTGTATGTCGTCTGTCTACTATCCTTGTCAATTGAATTTTACTCATTTCTCCCATCCTGTCTTTTCCTTTTCTTGACTAGCAGTCTATGAGAATGATCAATCAAGTCGTGCGCTTTTATACTGCGTTCCTGATACATCACGTCTACCGATCCAAGTACTCCACAGAACCTGTGTCGTTGGGGAGTCCGATGGACGTTCGGTGGCCGCCTGTAAGTGTGTGTTTTTGATTGTTATTTGATTTATAGTCTTGTTGTCTCATTTGTTTAGTCGGATATCGGGAAGGGGAGCAGCTATAATTCGGGATCCGGCTGCACCCGGGGAGCGGGTGTGGCCTTGAGCAGTGATTAAGGTTGTCTGTTTTGTGCCTTGATTTTGCGGGGTGTGGGGGTTAGTTGGCTGTATTCTGGTTTGGTACAACCCTGATACCATAAATGAAACTTGCTTCGCGTTGTGTATCGGATGGTCTTGGACCGAGTCATTGTTGGTCACTTATTAGGTACTACGGAATCCGGTTTATAGCAGCAGTATTGCGAGGTGCGTGGATGGACTCATGGTACCAAACGAGTAGCTTCCCAGTGTTGATTGTGTTGTCCGGGTTGGATTATGCAGAGGAGAGAGAGTCAAGAATTGTCAGGGGGAGGGGCGTTCGGTGTGATTCATTATATCCTTAACTTTCTATAAGTTCCTAATATTTTTCTCGATTCCTGTCCTAGCGGAGATAATTTTGCTCTTTGGGTCTACTATACAGATAGCTCCTTTCTTAGTGACTAAAATATGGAGGCCCGGTACAGCCTCCCTCCGCATTAGGATATTCCCCTGTTAGTACTGGAAATGGTGATTCCGGGCCGAGTTCAAAAACGAAGAAAGTAACGAAAAAGCTTTGCTCACTGCGCCCGAGAAGGAAATGAAAGTAGACACCTACTCAGAGGGAGAAACAGAACAAAGGCACTGCCCTTTGGCCGTCCTTGAATCACAATTCCTCCATACCCCCTCATACCCTAGTCTTTCTGGCTCACTTAAGGTCGATCGGATATACGTTTGCGTTCGTTTTTTTCCAGTTCAGACGCGGTGTAGGATGTAGCCGATAGGAGCTCCGAGTATGGGTTGTGAAGGAAGAAACATAAAGGAGTAGGATGATTTTATATTCGTTGCTTGTTCGCTTTTCTCTATTTGTGGGGCAGGAGGGGGTGAATATAGACCAACGAAGTCCCTGCCCACAATCCAACGTGTGTCAACAGGCTGCAGAAATCCTCCCCATCCCAACACATGAGCACACGGCTCATCCGACATTTCTCCCATGTTCAGAGGTCCGGCTCGGGCCCTTTCTAAGCGAGGTTCCCATACCAACCTAACCGACTCACTGAACCTGGCCGAAAGACTGCCGAATACTACCCCCGGGTATTATAATATCAGGCTAAGTCCTTCCTCTCGTATTCCGAACCTGAACATGAAATAAGACTGGAGATACTAGTACAAGAAATCTCTGCTTTGGTGTGGGACTCGCATAGCAACCATCAATGAATACAACCGGCACGTGAGTACCAGCAACGTTCAACACTATGTTCCTTCGTTCGTGTTCGAGGCTCGATTCTACATGTTCCTGAATAGAAGAGAGATGGGAGAAAAGGTCCCTTATATACACTGCCGGGCTAATTGCACACACAAAAAACTCTTCGCAGGAGACACCCCCAGAAACTT